GAGCGGCACGCGGCGATTCCCAATGACTCCAACGATATTCTTACGATTAATGCATATATAATGTATTCTTATAGTGTTCACATTATATTATAACATACCTAGCAAACACCAAATAATTATATAATTTTTACTTGTTGTTTATTGGATAATTTCTTCATAGATATTGAAACAATGCAACATTCGATGTGCGATGAATATTGATAAAATGTAGTGAACAAGTGATAATTACTTTTACACTTTTAACAAAATGTTATAATGATTAATCCAACAACAAAAAATTAAAAAATCCAAGAAAATCCAAATTAAACAAATCAAATTACTAAATTTTGAGAGAAACTTTTAAAAAATATTATTTACAACAATAGTGTTGTTTCATCAAATGACATGGTTTCCTTGAACGAAATAAAAGTTTTATCATTTTAAAAAATGATATTTTGTTTAAGAATATAATATTTTCACGAAATAAAAAAAACCACAAAATTAAACAAGTACGAATATTAAATCTAAAGAAAATATTTTCTCCGAAAAAACGATATAAGAAGTATAAAAAATATGCAATAAGACAAATTAATAATTGCCATTAACGAGTGCTATTCTAAGTACTATTCTACAAGTATTATTGATGTAAAACATTACTGAATTTGAAATACAGTAACAAAAATAACTAGTAAATAAATAAAATATATTATATTCGTAATATTTTTTTAAATATTACTGCAATATTGCTAAAGTAATATTGCAAATTAATGTCACTGCAAAGTCCCTGCAACATTGCACTGCAATATGCAATCTTGCAACGTTGTAGCAATGTTGCTGCAAGCTTCTGTGCTGTATGGGCATTGCTGAGATTCGAGCCTGAGACCTCTCCCAGGTAGCAGACACGTCAAAATGACATCCAAATCTACGTAAATTCAGGATAAAAAATAACCAAGGAATGATCAAAAATATCGTGAGAATATCGTCAAAATGATAGTCTAATGTCACAGATCGATGACGACATTTTAGACGACTTAATGACGTTTTATGACGTCTCTAAACGTCAATAATACGTTTTTAAGACGTTATATAGAAACGTCATTAAGATGTCACAAAATAGACGTTTTAAAGACGTCGTTGTTTAATCACTTGACGCCATTCGACCAGTTATGACCAGTTTTTTACGTTATATTGACGTGAGTCTGTTACTTGGGCTGTTTCTTGTGTCGTTCACCTTACCTACTGCGTCACTGTCACTTTGATTGAGAGACGCTTTATATTGTGTACATATGGTATATCCACATACGAAAGCATATGATTTATTTAAAAGAAG